CTTTTTTTTTTTTTTTATGGGTGTTTTGCTTATTATTCATGATTATTGTTCTGTTTTGATTTTGTGGTGTTGGTAAGGAACCACTTCGTCGGGATTTGTAACCGTTAGATCAACTTTCTTTACACAATGATCTAACGGTTAGAAATCCTGATAGAATCGTTCGGTAACAGGACCTTAACATTTTCCTGTATTAACTATTGTTTGGTGTCTGGTAAAATTTCTGATAATTGTATGGACAGATATTAAAATTACCACTTAAGTTTAAAGTAGCTTAATTTAAATATATATTTTACGCACAATTATAGGTATGCCAACTTGATTTTCACTATCATTCTTCATCTATATATTTTACCTAATAACTCAATTCCCTTTCTTGGAGTTGATATAGTGATCGACAATCAAATATTATGATTTTAAGTCAATTTTAAAAAGAAATAAATTTTATTTGCTTTTGGTAAGTATATTAAACTTTTGAATGGATCTTGTAATTGAATTGCAATTATCATACCTTACTATGGCAACTAAAAATTAAACTCGAATCGATGTGACAATTCCATGTAATCGAGAGAGATTCGATCTTGTTCCTAAAGGCACTGTAGTTGGGGCTTTTTAGCCATTGATTTACACACACATACACTTATCTGAGTTATCTCCTTAATTTACACACATGACACACATATACACTTATCCTTCTGAGTTATCTCCTTAATTTACACACATGACACACATATACACTTATCCTTCTAAGTGTATGGTGTGTGAAATCAAGAGTTATAAAGTACGGTTTTAATATGGAGCTATCAGATGGTTCGACTTATAGAGTCATCCATAGTTATCCATAAATGGTCTATTCACACTTGTCATGCAACAAATACACATTGGACACGTGTCAATACATAAAGTTATAGATGACTCCATAAGAAATCATTTGATCATTTCTATTAAAAAGTAAGTATATACATGATTAGTCCAAATGTGTTGCAGGCTTGATTGTTGGGCCTGCTTTTTTGATTGACAAGTAAACTATTTTAGTATTGTTAGCATCGCCCCAACAGTATTTGATGTTATTTTTAATTATGTATGATGTTACTTTAATATTATTGCTATCATTTGCACAAATGATAATATGATTATTTTTAATAAAAATACACTCTGACTACAAATAGCATTAAAACACATCCAATTGTATCACTACATACAACTAATAATAATGTAAGACTTGGTTCTCAATTACATCACGCCCTATATATATATTAAATAAAATTTTAATGAAAATATTTTATTTTATATCATATGTCAATTTGCATTTTTTTTTTTTTTGTATTTGTATTAAAGTATGATTGTAAAATATAGTATCAACCTAACAGCATAATTTGCGTAAATCAAAATATCTACTAACAGGTTATTTGGATTAATTGGTGGCGGGTTAGGTAGAAAGTCTTAATTATAAAAATAAGAAATTTGGTTCAATTGTTTTGTTGTTAACATTATTGTGCTGGCCCTTTTTGTCAAACAGCCTAGCAAAATAGTAGTTATTGGTATCTTTTATTAGGTGGACCTCTTCCACACGACTCAATTTACATTGCTGGCAAACTAAATAAATAAATATAATGCTACTCTTTAATTTTCTTAAATGTGAGGCAATTTAGCAATTTGATGGTGATAATAATTTTTATTCATGTGGATACGAATGTTAATTTTATGTTTAGAAGTAGAATCAGAACACAAATATATATATATATATATATATATATACACACATACGTTATCTTGTTTAGTCATTATATGAAAAATGATAAAATTCTAACGGAAGTATTTTTTTATGAAATTTCAACGTAATTTCATTCGATATTTTAATGTTATTATTTTGTTGGACTTTTTCAATGGATGACAACATAAATGCAAACGAAAATATTCTATTGGAATGAGTATTTCATTGGAGTTTTAATTCGACTTTGGCATTGGAAATAAATTTTTCAAATGTTGTGAGAATAAATATTTCACTGAAAATTGCTTATTTAATTGAAAATTCATATTATAAACTATAGAAAAAATAGTTGTTGAAATCACTAAATTCTAATTAAATCTAAAACTCGTTAAATATAAATGTTTTCGTTGTAATCATTTTATCAAAAACTATAGTTTCGTTATAACATGCTATCGTTGGATTTTTCTTTGCATTTAGTAAGTCTTTAAAAAGGAGACTGGTTTGTCGTATGTTGAATATTCGGGCAAAAAGGATACTTTCCTTCAGTGATAAATTTCAGGGTAAGACTACATTTTTGTTACGGAACCATTCCATTAGGATTTGTAATCGTTAGATGCACATCTATATTAGTGTAACATGTGCATTCAACGACTGCAAATCCCAACAAAAATTTTCTAAATTTCTGCGGCCAAAATTGTAGAATCTAAGATATTTTTATTAAAAATATATAATATCCACTTATTGGTGGAGCCTAGCTGCAACATCATAATGCATAAAGATAAAAAGTCATTATTTGGTGGGGTCTTGATATTTTTTCTGCCACCATAGGCCAATGGCTAGTATGACAATATCAACTAATTACATAATTTGAAGAGCCTATATATTCATTTTTATTCCAACAACTTGCGAAATAATCTTTCAAAGATATTTGCAAATAAGATTTTTGTCTCATAGTAATAAGTATATGGATTCAACGAAAGAGTGTATTTATGTTAATCATGGAAGCCACCTGAGTTTCTTGTTCATTGCAAATGGAGTTAGAAGAGTCATTGTTGACAATTCTCCTGGCATAGTGCTAATAATGGATTAGATCAAAATGGCTCAATTAAATCTAGTGCTTCTTCTATTAGTGAAGTTTCTAGAAAAAAAAATATATCAAACGACGCAATGCACTTTGGGTCGCTACGGAAACAGCCTCCTTGTATAATTACAAGGGTAAGATCTGCGTACAACTGACCCCCCAGACCCCATCCAATTGGAAATATACTGGGTATGTTGTTGTTGTTGTTGTTGTTGTATGGAAGCCACCTGAGTTCTTGATACATAGGCTAAATGCTTTAAACTTAACATGTGTAATTATCTTTTGAATTTATTGTGGGACTAGAATAAACATGTGTAGCCCTTTTGAATTGTTATCTTCATGAATCTTGGCTATGATGTAATAATTTAAAACTCATAAACAAAAAAAACATTGAAAATTTTAAAGGGAGTTGCTGGGCGTTCTCAACTATTGCGGCCGTGGAGGGCATAAACCAGATAGTGACCGGAGACTTGATCTCTCTTTCCGAGCAAGAGCTCGTGGATTGTGACACGTCGTATAATGAGGGGTGCAATGGCGGTCTCATGG